TGGGGCGGCCAGTGCTGCTGGCTGTGCTGCTGAGGCTACACTCTCTTCTTAGCACGCCCAGCTTGGAGAGCTAGCGCCAGGACGTCTCCTCGCGCTGGAGTCAGGCCACCAGCTCAGAGTGCAGGCGGGCCCCCTGCTCCTACGTACACACAGAATTTGCCTCCTGGCTAAAGCCTTCCTCCGCCATGCCTGTCTCCTCAGAGCTGGGCAATGCTCTGAGACCACAGCTAGCTGGAGACACACCCAGTTAGGAACTGTCAGTGGACTGGAGGGTGAACATCGTATCGAGGCCACAGGCTGTATGCACAAGACAAGGCCCCTCTCCTGCAGGCAGAGCAGGGTTGGACAGATGCTTGGCAGGAGTCAGGGGGTCTGTGCATTGCATAGGACACAGCTCGCCCTACACCTGTGTATAGCACAGGTGAGAACCGCTCCAGGAGGCAACGGCTCCCTGCACCCTGACGCAGCCACCCCCTCTGGGGCACCTGCTTCCGCAACCCCCTGGAGAGAGGACACAGAGTTGCTGCTAGGAGGCTCCTCTGCCTCTCCCCCAGGCTCAGGGGAGGAGAGCTGAGAGTCCTGGCTCGAGGGTTGCACTGGGCTGCTAGGAGACCCAGCTGAGGAAGCTGCTGAGCCTGGTGACCTTCACTGAGGCTCCCAGAGACCTGGTGGGGAGTTGCTGGTCTGGGAGGATCTTCAGTTCCCACTGCTGGAGTCCAGGGCAGGAACTGGTGGGAAAGTCCCTCCCTCCTCGTAGACGCTGCAGGGGCCCCTCCCGTCCTGCAGGCAGAGGTGTTCCTTGCTGCCTTGGGGTAATGTGGCCCATTCTGGGGCGTGCACGTCTGCAGGACAGATCCCGGATGGGGAAAGGCCTGTCCCAGCTCCCTCCCTCACTGGGGTGCCTGTGTCCCTTTTCTACACAGAATATCATCAGCGCCTACAGCAGACACGAGGGCAAGACAGTGGACGAGGCCAAGGTGGCCTTCTTGAAGATGATCCACCGGTGGCCCACGTTTGGGTCAGCCTTCTTCGAAGTGAAGGTCTGGCCAGGTGCTTCTCATGCCATGTGCCCCACAGAGCCGCCAGGGGAGAGCAGGCAGGGTGCTGTCACCTGCCACAGGGGAAGCTATTCCGCCCCCTCTCCTGCTCTCGGAGTGAGGGAAAGCAAAGCCCGCGGGGAGGTGCATGGTCCCTGCCCTCCAGCAGGAGCGAGTCAGTGGCCTAGGTCCAGCGCCGGAGACTCCCCGTCCCATTCACGGCTCTCCTCGCCCCCGTGAAAACGGATTGCCATGGGCCCATTGTCCAGCGCACAGCTCTCCTCGCCCCCGTGAAAACGGATTGCCATGGGCCCATTGTCCAGCGCACAGCTCTCCTCGCCCCCGTGAAAACGGATTGCCATGGGCCCATTGTCCAGCGCACAGCTCTCCTCGCCCCCGTGAAAACGGATTGCCATGGGCCCATTGTCCAGCGCACAGCTCTCCTCGCCCCCGTGAAAACGGATTGCCATGGGCCCATTGTCCAGCGCACAGCTCTCCTCGCCCCCGTGAAAACGGATTGCCATGGGCCCATTGTCCAGCGCACAGCTCTCCTCGCCCCCGTGAAAACGGATTGCCATGGGCCCATTGTCCAGCGCACAGCTCTCCTCGCCCCCGTGAAAACGGATTGCCATGGGCCCATTGTCCAGCGCACAGCTCTCCTCGCCCCCGTGAAAACGGATTGCCATGGGCCCATTGTCCAGCGCACAGCTCTCCTCGCCCCCGTGAAAACGGATTGCCATGGGCCCATTGTCCAGCGCACAGCTCTCCTCGCCCCCGTGAAAACGGATTGCCATGGGCCCATTGTCCAGCGCACAGCTCTCCTCGCCCCCGTGAAAACGGATTGCCATGGGCCCATTGTCCAGCGCACAGCTCTCCTCGCCCCCGTGAAAACGGATTGCCATGGGCCCATTGTCCAGCGCACAGCTCTCCTCGCCCCCGTGAAAACGGATTGCCATGGGCCCATTGTCCAGCGCACAGCTCTCCTCGCCCCCGTGAAAACGGATTGCCATGGGCCCATTGTCCAGCGCACAGCTCTCCTCGCCCCCGTGAAAACGGATTGCCATGGGCCCATTGTCCAGCGCACAGCTCTCCTCGCCCCCGTGAAAACGGATTGCCATGGGCCCATTGTCCAGCGCACAGCTCTCCTCGCCCCCGTGAAAACGGATTGCCATGGGCCCATTGTCCAGCGCACAGCTCTCCTCGCCCCCGTGAAAACGGATTGCCATGGGCCCATTGTCCAGCGCACAGCTCTCCTCGCCCCCGTGAAAACGGATTGCCATGGGCCCATTGTCCAGCGCACAGCTCTCCTCGCCCCCGTGAAAACGGATTGCCATGGGCCCATTGTCCAGCGCACAGCTCTCCTCGCCCCCGTGAAAACGGATTGCCATGGGCCCATTGTCCAGCGCACAGCTCTCCTCGCCCCCGTGAAAACGGATTGCCATGGGCCCATTGTCCAGCGCACAGCTCTCCTCGCCCCCGTGAAAACGGATTGCCATGGGCCCATTGTGCTGTTCACACAGCCGGGGCCAGTGGCACGGAACTCTGGGTGGGGCAGGAACAGAGCAGAGGGGAGCCCCGGGGACGTGTTCAGTGGCCAGGGTGGGCTGCTGCGTTATGCCTCTTTGGATCCTTATGCCTCCCTAAGCCATGCAGCATTCTGGGTCCCGCTGCCCTCCCGCTACTGCGGCCAACTGCTGTCCGCTCCTCTCCTCCCCGCCAGCAGGGCCCACTCCTGCTGCGCCCCCCGCCCCCCGCCCCATGGCCTGACTGGTTTGTGCGATGCCAGGAAGGTGCTCCAGGCCCGTCACCGCGGCAACGGTTTCCCAGCACTCTGAGCTGGGGCGCCAGTGCCAGGAAACGAGACGGGAAAGGAGAAGGGCTCGCTGCGATTACCAGTGATCTTCACTCACCTCCCGCAAACTCTCTTATTCTTTTCCTGATCCCCAGCAAACCTCCGAGCCAAACTTCCCAGACATCGTGCTCATTGCGGTCAACAGGCAAGGAGTCTCGCTGATACACCCCAAGACCAAGGTACAAGTCACTTCAGCTGCGCCTGGGCATGCCATGGAGCGGGCCTCCGGGAAAGGCGGCTGCCTCAGCTTGGCAGTGCCAGCGAAGGGTCCCCTCTCTGGCCGGGCCCATTAACAGACCAGGGATAGGACCTTCTCCCTGCCTCTCCGGCACACAGCCTCTATCCTTTTGTTGCGGGAAACCGAAAGGTGGTGCCCAGACTCACAGCTGGGGATTACAGCTGCTGTTCCGAACTAATTCAGGCAATTGCTACCAGCTGTCTGTGGCCAGAAAAGGAAGGACCAGATGACAGCTGTGAAGGGGAGGGGTGGCTGGGATACCTGCTGAGGAAGGAGCAGCCCCAGCTAATGTACCATGGCCATGTGAATGTTCAGGGTGGCAGGGAAGCAGCTTCAGGGAGTTAATGGCAGGAAAGCTGAGCCGCCTCCCAGACAGCAAGTACCCGGCCAGGAAGAGAGGTGACCAGAGGGGAGCCCTGCCGAGGCCATGTCTGCAGGGCAACGGATGACCTGTGGCTGGCCCCGCACTAGTGACTTGAGCTGCAGGCAATCAAATTGCAGGGTGGATGCCTGGGCTTGGCTGGCTCCCAGAAACTGGGCTGCAGCCCCAGGCGACATCCTCAGCACAGCTTTCCCGCCCAAGTCCAGCTCAGCTGAGCGGGGCCGGCTCCAGGCCCGTGGTCGCAGGGGAGACATTCACATGCATGTTGTCACGTTGGTTTTTATAAACAATACAGCCACTGGGCGCTAGCCAGCGGCTTTCTGTACTGATCACACAAGCAGCACGGCCTGGAGAAGGTTAGCACTGAACAATGGCCTTCCAGAAACCCAAAGCCTCAGAGATCAGCTGCTCTGTGCAAACAGGGAGGGTTATGTCATGCCACTGTTTGGGGCATAAGCTACTTCGAGTAGCTGGGTGCCAGCCCCTCACAGGAAGCACTAGGAGACGTGAGGATGTACTTGCCTTACTGGAATGCATTTTCTAACCTGCCGCAATTGGTGTTCCTTCACAACTGCTGCACTGTTTGGTTGTTTATGTCTTTCTGCCTGCAGGACATCTTAATAGTGTACCCCTATAATAAAATCTCCAACTGGAACAGTGGCAGTACATTCTTCCACATGACAATTGGGAACCTGGTGCGAGGAAGCCGGATTCTGTGCGAGACGTCTCTGGTGAGTGTCTCAGACATGATCTCGGTCTTCCCTTCTCTTACGTCTGCCGGCGCCACAGACCCGTGTGAGGATGCCGGTGTCCATGAAAGTAGCCAGAGAAGAAAGGGTAGCAGCACACTGCTTCCTGCCATGACTGGCTCTAGGATTGATGGAGGGGATGAGCGCTTCCTTCCATTCCCTGCAAAAACACTAATTGTTCTTCTCCCTTCACTAATCAACTGCCCTGCAGCTCAGGTGCAGACTGGTGCTATTCATGGATTGGTGCACTCCATCCGCAGCGTCATGTGTTGACCACAGTGAAGGGGAAAACGTAGCGCTTCCCACCTTCTGCTGGCAAAGCAAGCTTCCCTGAGATGCCAAAATGAGCCTCCCCCTAGGTCTTTGCAATACAAATGACAGCCCCATGTTTTTCACAAATACAAAACACCACGAAATAAAAAAACAACAACATATAAAATAAAAAAACCCTCACCCTGCAATGGCAGCAAGGGGCTGGGCCAAACTCCCCGCCCAGGGCCTCCCAGGCTCCTGGGGAAAGCGTCAGAACATAAGTCCTGAAAAGTGAAACAAAAACTTATAAAGAAAAAGAATTTCATGGGGTTCTAAATACGATCTCCCTTTCTGGGCATGCTTTGATCAGGAGCACAATGGTTAGCTGTGTGGAGATCCCGTCATTCGATTTCAGTGGCAATGATCGATTTAAATGAATGGGGCAGCCCCACTTCACCCAGATCTCGTTTCAGGCTGCCTGCTAGACTCAGGCAGACATTACTGCGTTGGTTTAGATGGGCTCGTACTTTGGAGGTTACCTTTGCAAACACGCAGACAAGTGACTTACAGGTGAAAGGTGAGAACCTGAAACACAAGGTAGCAGCCAACAATGGTTTGCTGAGCCACTGCAAACCTAGCAGGTTTGATCACTGGACTGGAGACCATGTACAGTGCAGGCAGCAATGCTTTCAACAGCGCTACTATGGTACCTGAGAACACACCAGAGGGACCCCTGGAAAAGAACTGCCTGCACGACATTAGGAACTGGCAGAGGAGGTGGACACAGCTTGGGGAACAACAACTGTTGCCAGCTGGCACCTTCTGAGTCCTTTTCACGAGACTAGGTTAACATTTTTCTCTCCCGCAGGGTTATAAAATGGATGACCTGTTGACATCCTATGTGCAGCTGCTAATGAATGCTGTGAACAAGCAGAGGAATCCCCGTCTCCCTGCCTGAGGGGAGAAGCCTCTGATTCATACCTGTGCCAAACTGCCTCCATTTCATATCTGAAAAGAAGACCCATTTAACACTGGTCCTGCCAATTAATCCTCTGATCACACCTGTCCCGCTGCGAGCCACGCTGGGGAAGGACGGATGAGACATGCCAACATTTTACACTTTCCTATCCTAGACTTGAGGGACAAATTCAGTACAGATTATAACCATTGCAGCAAGTTTTGCTGGATTTCAGCCTCAGCACAGCACTAATGAATACATGAAAAAGCAGTCTGAAAACCTCTTCAGCGATATTATGGTGTCCTCCATGCTACCCCACCCACTCCTTCCCCCGGGGACAGAAGGGAATGCTATTCAGTATACTCTCACCAGCTATACAAGCTTCCCGTCTCTGGCAAAGAGGGAGGAAACGGGACTCTTTTGGCATAATGGAGAGACTCCACGGATGGAGAAAAAGGCAAAACATTTCAGCCAAGTGTTCAATGGTAAGAAAACTGGGGAAAGCTCTTGAGCGGAGGTGCTGCTTTCCTTCAGTCGTCTAGCATGTCGAATACTTGCTGCCAGTCGCCGTCACAGCCACCCTATTCTGCTGGTGTGGGAGAAGCAGCATTGCTCCGGGACACTTCTGCCTGGTAACCCAGGGGCTTTGCAGAAGGGAAGAACCATCTGTGCTCCCACATGGTTATTGTCTCCTGCCTTTGATACCCTGTGAGCTAGTGCGCTTCCTTTTGCGCCCCCTTTGATAACTGCGCCTGGGTGTTCTCCCCCCCCCCACCTTCCTTTCTCCCAAGGAACAGGGGCCCCCTCTGATTTGGGCTATTATAAAGGGCTGAATCTGCAACCCTTCACAGATAACACATACTGACACAGATCATCTATAAGTGCTGCTCAGCGGGAGTCAGAATTGCACAGGGTCGAGCCTTTACCATACAGTCCTCTTCTGAAAGAGCCATTTTCCTGCTCTATAGCAGTGCCCCAGCACAGAGTTATGCAGACATTCTTTCAGGAGACAGAATGTCAATTGCTTCATTTGATTGGCTTTCATTTCTCTTGATCTTTTCCCTACTTCCTGTTTGGCAGACGGCTTCGCTTGATTCAGAGCTAGTTCGTCACATGCTCCTCCACAGACACACAACGCCCGTCAGCAAGAGAGAACTTTCTCTCAGTAAGAGCTGCTCTTGCCATTACATTAGAAGAGCAAACACCTGTCCTTCCCAAATCAGAAGATTCCTCCGGTGACCACAGTAGCATGTGGTGCTTTTAGTGTATTTACACCAAGTTCCTTGAGGCATGGTTTGACAGAACTGGAAAAGCAGTCCTGTTGAATCTCTCGCTCCAGTTTGCCAATGTATGGACAATGGGCTTCGTTGTCCCTTGGATGTGCGTGTGTGCAATGTGGCCATTAACGGGGCGGGGGGGTTGTACATGCACTGCATGGAGAACAGGACTCAGTGTCTCTGTGCATCTAAATGAGTGCCACTTTTCAGAACAGTTTATCTTTTTGCCACCAGTCAGATATTCTCAGTGCAAATGGCCGTTGCTAGCAGTGGATGCTCTGAGATTACCAATATCAAGGCGTTAATGATGGCATCGTACGTTTGAATTCAGTTTAATTAGAGAGAGTATCTGAGACTTGTTTTGTACTTTTGCTCCGTACTGCAATCTCTGCAGCCAAACTTTTCTGTTCCCATTTTTAAATAAATTGTTGCAGATCGGTGATGGTGATGTATTTTTCTTCCACAAGCCGGGTGAGTGCCCTCCCATTCTCAGTATACTGTGAGCAGCCCCCCGTTGCTTATACTACCTCTGCATTAGCACAGCACCCCACTGACATCCACAGTCCACGCTAGCTGCACAGCATCTGAGACACAGCAGCAGTGCTACCACTGCACTGTCATTGATCAATCCATCACCCTCTAACCCAGGGCTACTCTACATGCGGCCCGCAGTGCGGTTTGAATTTACGCGGCCTGTGGGTGGGAACCAAAACAAAAAAGGAGTCAATATAATAGTCGTCTGTTGATTTGCATTTTCGTCGTTAAATTCCTGGAGTGTCATTGCTCATTAAAAGCGCTGTCGTATTGTGGCAATCGAGTAAATGTTGCATTTTATAACTATCAACAGAACTGACTTAAATGGGCCTGCGTGTTGTGCAGTCTTGCCTTAATCTTTGTATTCATGCCCGTCAGTGTGAAATAAGCTATTTGCATATATATATGCAACCACACTTAAGTTGCAGCCCTTGGCATATGCTGTGAGTATCGTGGCCCCCGGGGCTTCCAAAATTGAGTAGCCCTGGTCTAACCAGCACTGATCAAAAACATTTCAACAACACATTCTTGCATAGACTCACCATCCTGGAGCAAGCCCCAGCACTGTAGCCGCACTGCCTCACCTTCCTCCTCCAAACCTCAGTGCTCTGTAGTGATTAGTCCTCCAGCCAGGCCACACCGAGTCTCACCCCTTCTGGGGTCACAAAGTGCAAACTCACAAGAGAGGAATGGAAATCCTCAGCTCAGTCTTCCACAGATTCTTCGCTCACCTCCCGGGCTCTGCAGAGTTCTTCACTCGATCACTGAGCATGGCTGTCCAGGGCTTTCTCCCTGGAGGCCCAACTTTCCACAAGCTGTTAACCCTCAGGGCGTTTCCCTAGAGTTTCTCTCTGATCCCAAGCCTGCTTTAGGAGTCTCCATCTCTTAACTGCCCTCTCCCCTCAGGGACAATCCCATGTTAGACACCTCCTGCAGGACCCTCTTTGGTTCCTTTCCCAGAGAGGAAGTTCCCAACTACCTCCCTCCTGGCTCTCCTCCCCCTATTGCTCCGCACTCGTCCCTTATATAGGAACCACCCAAGCCCCAGCTGGGTCTAATCCTTAACTACCCGTCTCCCTTTCAGGTGCCACATAGGAGCTAATTGTCACAGCTGTGAGATAGGAATGCAGGTAACCTCTGGAGTTACTGAGTAATTCACTCTGGGTCACATCAGTGGTGCAGATCAAAGGACTCAGGATTGACAGTGCAGAATGCATATGCAATAGTTTGTATATTTTAATTTTTAGTGTGAAGATTTAAATGCATTGCAGTTAACTTTATTACAAGAACATACAGAACCAGTGCAGATTATAATACTTTAGTCCAGCAGTCACAGATTTTGGTTAGACACCACAAACTCTGAAGTACTATAAAACAAGAAATCCACAGTCTGCAGAATCCATGTTGTAGAATAAGGGTGGGCTTGTCTCTTTGGTATTAATACATTTCTTTACTCTTTCTATATAATCCTTAGTGCTGAGGGTGCTTTACAAACTAGGAACTAAACACCTCTTAGAACAACTGCTTTTGTCCCAGGTTTACTTGTGACCCAATGCCTGCCATATGTTTCAAATTAACACTTACCCTCTTCAGCCCCAGACGCCTGCATTGCCCAATACAAAACATTTGTCATGGGAAATTCCAAGCATTGAAGGTTAAACAATTTTGCTAATGTTGTGTGGATCACTGTGAGGGTAAGGACTGGGATCCAAACTCTAGCGAAAACATTTAGCAGTTGGATTTGCAAGAAGGAAGGATGTTAAGGAAGTGATTAGTATTTCCCTTGAATATGAGTATGCTGAACATATTGCAGTTGCTAAAAGCATTGCCATCTTCAAGTGTAGCCAGTGAGCATTAGTGATTTGTTTTAAATATGTATATAAATATAGATTTTAAACTGTGAAAGTATACAATGGGCAGCAGCTTTCGGTAAGTAAGACAAGCCTGGCTTTTTGAACCAAATTCATCTCCTTGATGTAACCCCACGAAGGACAATGGAGGTGACAGCAAGAATGAATGAGTCTAGAGCAGGGGTGGGGAACCTTTTTGGGGTCGCAGGTTGCTGACCCCCAGGCAAGTAGAAACTTTGTGTGTTCCAGTCCCACGGTGGGATGGGGGGGAGGGGCTGGAGTGCCAGAATGGGCTGCCCAATGCTGGGAGGGGGGAGCCCCGAGCCTTGGGGGCCAGATACAGGCAAGCCAGGGGCTGCAGGTTCCCCACCCCTGCTCTAGAGCAAAGGAAAATGCCATGCATCCTAGTCTTCAATTTCTTTCTATGGAAGAGTGTCTCCCTGCTGACTCCAGCATTGTGAAGAACACACAAGTCCTAGCAAATCCATCATACTAAAAGACTCTGTCCAAAAGCAGCCCACAGGTCCTATCGCTTCTACTTTCCTTTTCCAGTGGAGTCTGGTGCAGAGAAACGAACGTCTCCAAACTGAGCTGGGATTATTTTCCATAACGTCCTTGATTCCTCAGTCTCTCAAATGTGATTTTGTAACTCCGTAGAAGACCGAGTGCTCTACAGGAAAAACTTAAAAAACCAACAGATAGCCTAGCAGCACCTTAAAGACGAACAAAACCCGTAGATGGTATCATGCGCTTTCATGGGCACGGCCCACGTCTTCATACCATCTACATGTTTTGTTCGTCTTTAAGGTGCTACTAGATGATTTGTTGTTTTTTAAGGTTTTCCTTTAAGTCCCTTCTCCCCAGCCTAATCTACAGAATTCCAAACGTGAGAGATGAAGTAAGAGTCCTCGCCGCATTGCTTCTCATAGTACAATGGTACTCGTGGGCATCTCTACAGGCAAATGTTTACCCATCGCCAATCTCCAATGGGCTCTGCAGGGAACACAGACCACTGACAGGGTTTGAGCTGGTTGAGACGACGATTGCCCAGTAAACTATTCCTGCATATACATAAGCACATATGATGTCAAGTGTCCTATTATGATCTTCCCAGAAATTCTCTTAAACTAGGGTTGGTGAATCAGCTGAAAATCTCCTAATCCCGCATTGGGCTCCTTCCTGTGACCAGGACCTGGGGAAAGGAGCTGCCTGCTCTAAAGGAGGAATCATCATAATGAACTGTGAATGCTCATAGGCCTGAAGTGTCTCAGCGTTAGTCCTTCAACAAACACCAGGGAAAACAAGCACAGTGGACGTGGCCCCAGCAGTGGCCTGAAATGGTGTAGTTCCCTGGGCCCGGACTTGAAGGATGAGCCGAGGGCTAGAGAAAAACAAGTGCTGTCCTCCACTGCTCAAACTGTGACAAAACACATCCTGTCGAGGTTACTGTGGAGGCCGATAGTCATGGTGGAAGACACAGGCTCTATGTTTAGATCACAGCGAGTCCGTTACTTCAGAAGTGCCATAGCTGAGGCAGCGCACAGAAGCTGTTAAAATAGTTATGGTAGCTTGCTACAGCAGAAAGCAGCAGAAGGCAGCTGGTATTAGGAAAATAGCTAATTAAACAGGAGTCTTGCACGGGGAGCCTTTGTGTTAGCTTTTTCCCCTAACATTTTTACTGTAACTATTTCTAGTGCAGCTTCCCCAGTGGTAGCAACAGTGAACACTCTGGTGTAGAGCAGTCACCAGCATTTCTGCCATGAGGTTGTGAGAGTCTGCTCTGAGCAGGTGACACACATCCCAAACAGCCATCAGATGGTGAACATTTTGGGCCACAGTCAGAACACTGTCCTACAGCTGAAAAGGTCTGTGTGCAAGGCATTTAAGGAGTCCTTGATATTTATGGCTCGTGTTGAACAATCTGCATGTTTCACCATCTGATATTTAAATCACTGTTCTTCCAAATTCCTCAGACTACAGGAGACAGAATTTCAGCTCTGACCAATGGTAGAATGATGCCAGTTAACTACCATGCCCACAACTCTGCCCTGCCCCTCAGCAGCAGCCGAACTCCCCATGCTATCAGCGTTAATTTGCAACTACCTAAGTACAGACAGAGTCAGGGTGAAGCTGGAGGAGGTCCTATTTGTCTGGGGATTGTTTCAGACATTCCCGGTGTGATCCATAGCACGGCAAGTTGCAGTCTGAGGAGAAGAGCGCAGGCAGCAGAACGACAGACCCGTTTAAGCGGAGTTTAAATCCACAGCTTTGGGATGCGATTTCCTGGCAGCCAGTTCAGACAGCTTCTTCAGACGCTTCTTCAGCTCCAGGGGGAATTTCTCGTAGCATTTCTTGCACACAGGCTTCATGTCAAACTCCACAAACTTGTTCCTTCCAAAGAGACACTGAACTGTAAAAAACAGCACTTGCAAGCCATGACCTGATGTTCAGTCATCGGGGCACATGGGTCTGCAAGCTCAATTTATTGCAAGTATCAACCCCCTCATTTCAATAGACGGATGCCAACCTTGCCACGCACGGTCACCAATCAGGATACGAGCAGCACTGATCATGCCAAGCGAGGTGCCCTACTGTGCGAACACAGATCCCCATGGACTGATTACTGGAGAGCAGGTCCACATGCAGGGGTGAAAGTAACTTAAATATCTGACCGGTACTGTTGTATTTCAACTCCCTTTCCCCAGGGGGGTCAGGGCAAGAGGCTGAGGGGGGATGTAACAGGACAGTATCCTTAAGAAAGTTAAGTGTGGGATGGAGTGTGGGGGGCTCAGGGCAAGGGATTGGAGGGGGGGGCTCAGGGCAGGTGTGGGGGTGCAGGAGTCAGGGACCAGGGCTGGATTCTGGGTACTCTGTGGCTGCGTTACCCAAGGAGCCAGCAGCATCTAGTGCCTCATCCCCAGCCAGTCTCTTACCGGTGCCCTGCACTGGGCACACCCACTTACTTTCAGCTTTGTCTGCACGTTTACCAATAATGCCGTGTCCGGCCAGGGAACACTTTGTGGTTGGCTCTTAGCAACACTTCTGCTTGGCTGCTTCCCAAAACGGGGCAGCAGCTTCGCATCGGCACCAGGAAGGCATTTTGATTCCTCACACTTCTCCCTGACGGTGCTGCCAAGTGTACCTCAGCCTGCTATGAACGCCCCTTGCTAGGACCAGGGTGAAGGCGTGTTAATTATCCCTCTACGTAGTCACGGGGCTTTCCCTCTGTTGCAGCGTAATGGTGTTCCTGCGCTTGAAATTCCCTGCTCAGCCTCTGAGAAAGGAGAGGACTCAAGCAGCCAGGAACGTCAGGGGAGCACAATCAGATTGAGATCTGGCTGTCCCAATGGTGCCCGCAGCACAATCCAGTCACCGCGTTTATCTGGTTGGCAAACACCAAGCAGTAGAAGCAGAATTTCGCAAGCAGAGTCGGTGTCTAGAGCCACTTGGTCTGAGACTTGCCAATTCCTCATTCCCTATTGCCTCGTATTCCCAGACTTCCTGCCATTCAGCTTCCTTCGAGTTTACTGTGGTTCATTCTGCTCCATTAAGCACTGCAATACCCCTCCCTGCAAATGTGCCCAGCCTCCATGATCCAGGGAAGGAAAGTCAGAGACACCTGACTCTGAAATGGGTACATGACAAACTCATTTTATAGACGTCTGAACTAACTTTACCATTATTTCGTAAGTGCTAGTTCTTACAGGTAACATGTAACACTGTCTTAAAGCATGGCCTACACACAGCATGCATTTAACACCCCAGACATTAAACAGCCAGGGTATCTCTGGGGTCCTGCTGGCTGGTGCAACAGCCTGGTCTGTCCAGAGCTGTGTCAGTAATCAAACAGCCCAGCTGGAGCATGGAACGGAGGCTCACTGCAGTGTCATTTTATTATGGAGTGCGATTTGCTAAGCACTGTTATCAGAATGGAAGAATACCGAGTGCAGAACACTTTCCAAATCCAACACAAAACCACCATTTCCTCAAGCCCCTAAGTGCCGAGTCATGTTGGGCCAGCGCAGCAGAGCAGGGGTGATATCGGACACTCCGCAACTAGGAAAGGGGAATGTTAGGAGGGAGGCATTAAACACCCAACCATTTGAAAAGGGCTGTTACCTTTCAACAGGCTGCCTTTCTTGGGGAAAGCTGCCCATACCGCAGGAGAGGCTGCATCTCTGCTGCTGCAGGATGCCAGCACTGTTTTCCTGGGCTGCTGAAAGAGTTATCCTAGGTCTGCAAGTATCTACTTACTTCAGTGTGAGCTTGATGTTGCAGGTGGAGCAGGAGAAGCAGTTCACACACCAAGCCTTGTTGAGAGCTGATACCACTGTGCAGAGTAAGAGCACACAACCAGATTATCTAGTCTCAGAGTCTGACCCAATTCAGCAAGGCCAGATGTAAAAAGAAATATTGGTGTCTTGCCTTGCAAGTTCAGGACTGACACGGAATGGGAAAGCGACCCAAAGCAACATGAGAACGGCCATACTGGGTCAGACCAAAGGCCCATCTAGCCCAGTATCCTGTCTACTAACAGTGGCCAATGCCAGATGCCCCAGAGGGAGGGAACACAACAGGTAATCCTCACGTGATCCCTCTCCTGTTATCTATTTCCAGACAAAAAAGAGCCTAGAGACACCATTCCTACCCATCCTGGCTAATAGCCATTGATGGTCCTAACCTCCATGAATCTATCTAGCTCTTTTTTGAACCCTGTTAAAGTCCTAGTCTTCACAACATCCTCTGGCAAGGAGTTCCACAGGTTGACTTCCTTTTGTTTGTTTTAAACCTACTGCCTATTAATTTCATTTGGTGACCCCTAGCTCTTATATTGTGGGAATAAGTAAATAACTTTTCCTAATTCACTTTTTCCACACCAATCATGATTTTATAGACCTCTATCATATCCCCCCTTAGTCTCCTCTTTTCTAAGCTGAAAAGTTCAAGTCTTTTTAGTCTCTTTGCATATGGGGCCTGTTCCAAACCCCTGATCATTTTTGTTGCCCTTCTCTGAACCTTTTCCAATGCCAATACATCTTTTTGGAGATGAAGTGACCACATCTGTACGCAGTATTCAAGATGTGGGTGCACCATGGTTTTATATAGAGCAATATATGTTTTATATAAGCAAGACAAGAACAAAACTTACCATCCCCCTCAATCACATGGCTGCAGCTGTAACAGACGTCTCCAAAGAGCTATATTCAGAAGGAATAAAATGGAAACTTATTTTACTGACTACGAAGGTGTCTGCCCTTGCTCCCCAAATCAGACAGCTGGTGCTAACATCAAACTCCTAAGGGATACACCAGCACCCTCAGACTCTTTTACCTCTACTGAATATCATACACTTGCCCATTGCTCTATGGTCATTCAGAACTTGTATCCTCAAATCCTGGAAGCTATTTTGTTGATGCCTCATATTCTTGGTATCTCTGTAACATGAACTCTGAGCTTTGCATGCCTGGGAATCTGGAAGTCCGTGTCTATAGATCACAACCGTGATCAAAAATAAATATCTCCTGATGCTAGACCATAAACATCGAGGCAAACCCAAGAGCACTACCAGACTATTTGTTGTTTTTTATGTTTATTTGAAAAGTGGTAGATATTCAGCCTGTGAAAGCTTTACAAGGGGAATGTAGTATTCTGTCTGATGGAACCGGGCGTAGAAGCATGACAGCTCATTGTGTTTTTATGGCAAAGTTACCTTTCGATCATCTCACAGGACAGATCTTTTTTGTGCTTTAGCCAACTAGATGCCATTGCATTTATTGTAATTATAAACAGACTGGTTTCACATGGATTACAGAATATTTTAGATTCTTAACACAAGGTTAGCCAACCGGCTCTGACAGGTTAACACCAATTTTATTTGGTATAATTACAGAAATGTTAATGTGTTTGCCGTGTTATAGCTGCATTGTCCCCAGGATACGAGAAAGGCAAATGTTTGTAAGATAATATTTATATTTGTGTTGGTAAAAGCTCTGCAGCGCTCGAAAGCTTGTCTTGTCCACAGAAGCTGGTCCAGTAAAAGATATTACCTCATCTCAGAATTTAAGGACAATCCAGGGACAGCAATTTTTTCTTTCAGGAGGGACAATCCCTGTCCCCAGTACATTTTCATTCTCTAATCACTGTTGTGTTCCTCGAGTTATACGTGTGAACATACATCTGTGATGGAAACCCTCCCACAATTTACTGATATTTTTAACGCCCAGCTCCAGATAACACCGCATGTCTGGCTATACATGTGTACATGCGTGTGGGGAAAATGCTGTTTAGTTCCTAAATGTCTCTCCAGGAACTTCTTTCTCCCCAGCCCTTCAGCCAAGAGAGGTGCCAGATGAATGGGTGTAGGACAGCGGGGCGTACCTGGTTGTAGTGAGTCTCGCAGTAAGCCAGGCCTTTTTTCTCATAGTGGCGGTGCCCCAGAAACGGCTTTTCACATTTGGCACAAACAAAATGCTGCAAAAGTAAAGGGCAGTCAGGTCACTGGAGGGGCCTCCACAGCCACAGCAAGACGACATGCACAGACTCTACCCCCAAAATAAACCAGTGGTGGACACAAGGGTTTCAGATCGTTATACAAACCCAAGAAAAACCTGCAAGGAGAGGATGGTGACATTGGGACACCATGGAATGGTGACGTTGGGACGGTGACGTTGGGACACCAAGGGATTGGGACGTCGGGACGGTGACGTTGGGACGGTGACGTTGGGATTGCAACGTTGGGATGCTATGACAATGTAGATGATAGTCTCACAGCAGGGTTAGAATACTGTGCACTCAACTCTAGCTATTCAACAGATTCTACCATTGTTATCATCTGTGGAGCCGTCCTGGACTAAAAATTGCTCTCAAGGTTTGGAAGGTGAGCTGCATGACCCAAGGATCTCTTCATGCCAACTAGCGAAGCAATGTAGAGGGTTACAACAATCTCCCAATTTTAGTATGGACATTCTGGCTCAAAGAAGGTCTTCTGAGCTCTCAAATGAAAGCTGGGTTATGAATATTTTTGTGATGCGTGTACAGGTACTCTGTAAGGAATTGGGTAGAGAGATATATTTTACATGCACACACAAAATACATGCTGAAAGTCTGTGTATGGGAGCTGGACACTAGCAAAAGGTGAAAACAGGTTTTCTGTCAGGCAAGAGTTGTTTATTCATCTCTCTGTTTACATGTTCATTGAATATTGTCTCAATCTCTTCTGGTCATTTATCGCCAGTCAGAACTGAGTGCAAATGAAGGATTTTGCAGAATTCGGAGAACTCTACCAGGAAGAGAGAAACAGTGATGCCTACGGGACTTGGAGAGAGGGAATCCTCTCTAGAGATACACATCAAAGGTTTGTTCCACTATATTTGGGAGGCAAAGAAGAAACCATGGCATCTTTCACAAAGGGAGTAAAAGGACAGCGCTTCTGGTTCACGAAGAGTCTTGGTTGAAAATGTTGAACTTTAGGCAACAGAAGTTTTGGACAAGCACTACTAGTTAGTTAAGTTAGTTACATTTACTCTCTAGAAAGCATGTTATGATTTTACGTTATACATCGCTATTCTCTATTTCTTTGATAAACTTATTTTTATTGTCACTATAAATATATTATCTAAGCAGTGTGGTGTTAAGCAAAGCACTGGCCCCGAGCTGAATCTTACATGCTGGTTTGTACCATTCCTTTGGGAAAAGCAGGCCTGGTAATTCTGGGAGTGTCCCTTGGCTAAGGAGCTGGACACTAAGGTGACTCAGGAGTTGGTGTGAGCCTATTGCTACCTGCAGAGTGAGAGCGAGGTCTGGAAGGCAGCGCTTGTGCTACCAGAAACTGGTGGTTTCAGAGAGCTGATCCACCACAACCAGACTCGGGAGTGCTTCATGCTAAGAGCAGGTGGTGGTCAGGTGCTCACAGTCCGGGTATCCCTGGGGAGTGTCACAACAATGTTACAGTTTATTACTCCGAGCTGGGAGCAGGGGGGCAGCACAGAGAGGATGTACACAACACCCATGGCAAATGCTATTTTGCAGACCCCAGGATCTTTGCAATGTTATGCAGAAACTTCAAAATAGCTTCCCTGAGAGTAAATTAAACAATGGGACTGCTACTGTGCGATCGAGGAAGCGCAGCTTGAAGAGCTCAAATGCATGTGGTTTCCCAGGTAAAGCTCATCCAAGATGAGCAGAATGTGCATTCAGCCAAAGCAGGGATGGTGGGAATGTCTAACGTTCACCACAACAGCTTCCAACGTGCGTTAGGTTCGGCAGCATGCATTCCACAGGGAGCGTGGCGTGGATCTCACCTCAACGTGCCACTGCTTTCCCAGCGCATTGACCACGCGTCCTTCGATAGGCCTGCGACAGGCCCCACAGATTGGGATGCCCATCTTGTCATGGCAGGGCAGGCAGTAGAGTTCCCCTTTCAGCTCCCTGGCTTCAGCAGTCAGCTCCTTCCTGAAAAGAAGGCAGACAAGTGTTCCTGAAGCAGCATCACTAACCCAAGCCCCAGCCGACACACAATTAAACCTGACACACCAGCTTCCCTCCAGATAGGAACATCTAAGACGAAGCTGTGGAAGAGTGAACTTCAAAGCAAACGTCCATGCTTTGGCCCCATCTATATGATAAACACGGGCACCCTGAGCTATGCTTGGGAGTAGGTCTTTCTGCCCTTGAATGCAAGGAGGAGTTTGGCCACAACCGTGTTTAAAGAGGGTTATTTTTGCAATGTAAACAGGACCTTGGAAAGTGGCTCATTTCCGGGCACTGTTCTCAAACCCGGCAGCCAATGGTGCCCAGTAAGCAATGCATGGAGGAAGGAGAATCCGATATAGCTGAGCAGGAGAATTCCAGTTCTTCTATCTTTTTTGATCTTTTACATACAGAACTTCTTGTCTACCACACAACGTAACTGCTGCAACATGTAGCTGATCGCAGAGTCCAGAAATTGGTCGTGCCGATTTTCTTCCACAATTTGATCTGAGGAAGTGGGTCTGGCCCATGAAAGCGCATCACCTAATAAACCATCTTGTTAGTCTTTAAAGTGCTGCACAGTCCTGTCTTTTGTTTCAGCAAGACCAGACTAACACAGCTACCTCCCTATTACTAGTCCAGAAAGGAGTGAGCCGTGCATCTCTCAGGTCTGTCCACGGAGGCTAGGAGATGAGAACGTACCCGCAGTGGGTGCAGTTGAAGTGATCTGGATGGTAGGAGTCACTCCGGAACATCAGAGGCAGCTCATCAATTATCAGGTGGCACTTCTGACAGATATACTTGCCCAGCCCCTTGGCCTTCTCCTGATCGTGGCACTTCCTGCACAGATGCCTGGGGGAGAATTGGAAAAAAGAGCAGCGTTAGTCGATTTCTCTCTAGACGAGGGTCATGCTCTGCACACTGTTGGTTTGGGTAGCTAGTTTCTGCAACCTTCTCCCAAAGACAGCAGCTAATGTTTTAATCCCACTTTTCTAGAGGATGGCAACCAAACATCATCTGATGGTACTAGTGCCAACCAAGTCTTGTAATGCCACCTGCCCCTTCAGGACACAGTGAGGTATTCCCCAGGCTTCCTTATGTAGCATTTCTTCTCCTCACTATGAGTGTCAACTGCAGTAAAAACAGTAGAAACGACAGGCTTCCTTATGTAGCATTTCTTCTCACTATGAGTGTCAACGGCAGTAAAAACAGTAGAAACGGTCTGTAAATTGCAAGAGTGCAGTCATCTTACAAACACAAGGAGACTACACATGGGCCCGGATCACTATGCATGAAGTGTTTGTTTTCATAAGTAGCAATAAAGACACATAGAGGGGCGCAAGTCAGAGTAACTAATAAGCGTCTTATCAACACAGCAGTGAGTTTATGTGCACACAACTATGTAAGCATGTCCCTACAAAACCAAAAATAGAGCCCTGGGTGGATGCAAAATTGGTATCCACATCCGCATCTGCAAAAATGATCCACAGATACCTTCATCCACATCCGTAAGTGCGGATACTCGCAAACGTGCAGGGCTCCATCCACAAACGTGGCTGTTTACATAAATCTCTGCACACAATCATCTGACAGCGAGTTTACTCTCACTGCTCCTCCTGATGGCACACTGCTACAGTGCCTCGATCATGGCTGGACTCATTAACCAGGACAAACCAGAGAGCCTTCGAATTACAGTCCTCCTCCTCAAAAGCTCCCTATAAGTGTGAGGCAAACAAGGGAGTCTGCAGCTCTGTGTTGCAGACCCTTAATATTTTTCAGCCTGCAATAGAGACTCAAGTCCTGACCGGATATGCAGCTGCCATTGCTGGGAGTGAAGTCTGTGACAAAAGGCATAAAACAAACAGCTGTAAAGGTCAGTGCTCCTGTTTAAACAGATGAGGAGGAGCTGTGTCTCATAGGGTGGTCTTTAGTTCCTCCAGCGGCTGGCTCCCAGCTATAGTGTGGTTTGCTGGTGCAGCGGTTTCAACTGAACACAGAGCAGGCCAATAGGGAATAATGGAGGTGCACTCTCCCACCACTGTCCTAGCTCACAACAGCCTCCTGCGCTCCCCCTCGCCCCAGTCACACATACATCCCTGGTTAAGAGTCACGGATATTCCCCCAGACACCATCAGCTCCAGTGAAGAACAGGAAAGGTGGTGCCCTGGCTAATGCAACCGACTGAGTAGGAGTCAGAAGACCTGGGTTCTATTCCAGGCTCTCTCTCAGATATCCCAGGGGACTTTGGGCAAGGCGCTCCACCTCAGCTTTCCCCTCTGTCAAGTGGGGCTGAGAACACTTCCCCATGGTGCCAGGGTGTTGCGAGGCCTCACACATTTATGATCCTCAGCGGGAAAGCACCCGCACATGCTGAAAATAGGATTATTATTTTCTCCCTTTTTAAGTCCTCTCTTCTATAACAGTCTGGGGCCACTGTCCTCCCAGACGGAGCCACAGGCCCCACCAAAAGCAGACAGCGCCCCATTATAAGAGCGCATGCAGCTGTGCTCATCCCTAGATAAAGGCATCAATTTTATTCAGCACTGTCAAAGGGGGACTAATTATACAGGGCAGGACACTGGGACCCTGCAGCAAGTGTCCTGAAAAAGACCACTCTCATTCAGCTGAATAAGGGGCCTTCAGCCCTTTGCACTGATAAACCATTATCAACCCCTCCCCATACACAAACCCGCTCTGCTGTCCCATAGACCCTCCTCTATTGCAAGCCAAGTGAAGTCTTGGAATCACTGAGCTGTTGCCATAGCAGCCGCCCCTCTCACCCCCAACTCCCACCATTATTGGAATTATCCCATTCTCAAGTGTCCTCTTGTGTCTATTAATACCAGACTCCCCCCCGCCCCCCGACAACAGCCCTTTCCACCCCTCTAAAGTAATCACAGAACTCCAAAGAGTCACTGTGAGAGACTGGAGGGTTCTGAGAGGCTTTAATAAGCAGGACAAACACACTGAAATATTCATAAATATAACAGCAGCCGCAGCTCCCTCCTTCCAAGGCTTCAGCTGGAATGAAAACTTCCTTTCATTGCAAGTGTGCCATCTCCTCTCCTCTGTTGTGAGAGCTGATAATGCACTATCAGAGCGAGCAGGACTCTATATAGAGGGGCTCTCTCTTCCACCCTCACTAAGTCCGAAACGGTCTGCTCCTTCTCAATCATCAAACCGCTTTCAGCTTTGACGCTTCCCCTTGATTCGCTGCTGGCATCAGGAGGGGCGCCCAGAGATTTACTCTAGAAGGATTTTACCCTGCACCAGCAGGACTGCGCTGACAAGAGGTAAGAGAACTGGCTTTGGCTGGAAGAATAAGGGATTAACTTTCCTGGTGGCTTTACGTTGTTGCAGCTGAGTCAGTGAGGGAGACAGGAGATGTACAGAGAAGCTAATGCACATAGTGTACAAGTTGTTGAACAAATACAGCCTCTAAAGAATGTCATTATAATCAATCTTGTCTCCTAAATTAAAATAGCTTTCCAAGCTTCTTTTTCAGCCATTACTATAGACAGGCATAGACCACAGACATCATATCCTATGGGCAACAAAGTATTCTCAGCCAGACACATTCAGCCATAGAGGGAGTTTCATTCAGTATTAAGTTATTTTCTGAGACAGATGCAAGACCCTCCTGCTTGGCAAAGCATTGCCACCATCATCCACACTGATCATGTAAAAGAAACCCAAAGAGCAGAAAACTCTGTGAAGTCCACGAGAGACTCATCGTGCAGGTCTAGCTGGGAAGCACTTAGTTTGTAGCCACAAACCAAGCTAGCTTGATTTCTTATTTGATGAGCTGGAAAGCGTTGTTGTTGTTCTTCATCAAGCCTTTTGTTAGCAAACAGGTAAAGCACTCATTGGAACAGTAATAAGGCTGTGAAAGCCATTATAACTTTCCAAGAAACTATCAATGTAGTGTGGGCGTGGGCAAAAAATATGGCTATACGCTCACATTCTAAATGAGAAATTACATGCCTGCTTACAAATCCACTACTGGAGGCCTGGAATAATGGCTAACTCCAGAACAGAGCTCTATTCAGCAAACTATAAATCACGAAATGCTCTCACTCCCCCAGCAGTGCAACTCAAGTGGAATTCTAGGCTTGGGAACCAGACAACTAAAGAATTATTCTACAGATTCTGAACCTCCCACACTGTAGAACAAACCCTGCTTGGGAACCAGACAACTAAAGAATTATTCTGAACCTCCCACACTATAGAACAAACCCCGGAAACTGGGTCATTTTAAAAAGGAGATATGATTTCTAATCAGCTCCAAGCAAAAGCAAGTGTACAGGCTATAGTGACACATTTAGGAGGGATTAGAGAGTTATTCCACTGGGTATCACAAAGGAGAAAAATAAACAAAAAGCCTAACTCAATAATATGCACACTTTATTTTGAATTGGTTTAAAAAAAAAAAAGAAAGAATAATCTGCTAAACCTTCTTCAGGTGTTATTACAAGAGGCACAGAGTAAAGCCATCTCTGGTTTTCCACTGTTCTAGTGTTATTTTGTTTGCTATGAACATTTAAAGCTGCACTTTTTTTAAAATTAGCCTTTTAATTCTCAAAGCCAGTGCAGCAATTAATTCTAGTGACACGTAAATTTCTCCAGAGCTACGCCAGAGCCAAGGATCCCATGATTTTCAAGTCAACAATGAACAACACTAATGGCTACAAAAATATGTTAAAACAGCACCAGAAAAACTCTTTGAGGATCATTTGAATTGAGAGCCTAACTGAAAGTTTTGTAATCAGAGCCCTGCTTCCTTTCTCCACTGCTTCTGACAAACACAAAATAGGCCCCCGTGCCTAACATATGTAACAGCAGCTTCCCCTGCAGTCCTGTGGTGAAATCCTGGCCCCACAGAAGTCAATAGCGGTTGAACTTCCCTGGTCCGGCACCCTCAGAACCTGACTGGTCCCAGATGAGGGATTTTACCAGATTAAGGGAGATCATTTCTGGCACCCCTCCTCCCTGCTACGTGCTAGGCGGCCCCGCTGGGCAGCCCCTCTGGTCATCAGGCTCCCAGCCCTGCTGGGCGGCCCCACCGCTGGGATCCAAGCTGTCAGCCCTCCCCGGGGACTCTCTGGTCCTGGAATATCCCCAGATCAGTGAGTCCCAGTTTAAAGAAGTTCAACCTGTAGAAGTTTTGCCATTGACTTCATCAGAGCCTGAATTTCATCACTGGTATCTTTGCTACTCTGTCAGATACTGACCAACAAATTGAGCCCAAAGATCGTAGCTCAGTGAACCATGGGAAGTCAGTTCTAATAGAATCTGATCACCACAGAGAATTTTAAGAACATGATAAAAATAGGGAGCAATTTGTTGTCTAGAGGAAGTTTCCACTAAAATGCTGGTCTATGGCAAATGAAATCCCCATCTGGACTGTATGATGACCCAATCCCAGCCTTTTAGGCTCACATCCATGCAGTGTTTCATTTTTAACAGGCAGTTATAGCTGAATATAAAACAAATGGCTAACCAGTCTAATCTAACTAGTGCCATGTAGTATCATGCCTCCTTACACGTTGATTGTGGATGGAATTATTTAAATAAATGGAGCAGCAGAACAAAGAGCGTACATTCAAAGTGTCACATGAGTATTAATGTGGATGTGCCCTGTCTTTAATAGCCACTAACGGGGCAGGTTTTCCTCCTCCTTTGGTGTAAAGTAGAAGAAATAAGAAAAATACCTTCCAATAAGGATAACAAATCTTTAAGATTCCAATACCACTTTCATTTGGGAACTAAACTCACAAGGTTTTTCCAAAAACACCAGGACCCAGAGCTTCAAAGAGGCAAGATGGGCACATTCCACAAACTATCTTTGCATTTGCACACAGAGGCAAGTCTCCATTTTACACATGGAAATTGCATGCCCACTGTAACATGGCCCATGGAAACAGTGTTCCACTCAACTGCTGCCACAGACTGCCCTCATACTCTCATGTTTATTCTTTCCGTAACAACCAGGAACAAGCACACATCTGGTTGGTGCGCAAAGGAGCCTACATTCCTAAATCCCCAAACTTCCTAACCCAGCTGCATAGCATTTCAACACAGAGAAAGAGGGACCCACTGTGGCCAGATGGGAGAATTTAATTCTACCCATTCTCACTTCCGTTGATTTCCATCCTTCTTGTCTGTCAACTAGCGTGGCAGTGGAAGAAATCTGGTTCAGAGTAGGATGTAAAATTTCGATTATTTTGCTAATCGAATAGTTGATGCAATTTGCATTGACTATTTGATTAGTTGATAAGGGCACTTCCGCCTTTGAAGTGTAACAACAGGGCTGTTGCTACGTTTCAAAGGTGAAAGCGCTGCAGGGAGCATGGGATTTGGCCCCAGGCTCCACACGGTGCTGCCGCTTGGAAGCACCCCCTCTTCTCCCCCCGCCTTGCTGCCTTTTTCTGATAGAGGCAGCGGGGGAGAGGGGGGAGTGACTAGTCGACTAGTCATTCACATCCCTAGTTCAGAGCACGTCCACTTCTAGCCACCTACCTGAAAGACAGAATCCCAAGAAAACTCCTGTTTCCAGTGTTTGTGTTACTGGACTTGTCTTCACCTGGAGTTTTACCTCTTAAACGTTTCTGAGCAATACTCATAGCTCTGAGTGTAGGTGGGGCAATACCTTCTGCTCCAGTCACTAATCTAAGCTAGGGGGAGAGGCAGATATGCTGGATGGCAGGGGCAGGGTCCAGAGGGACCTGGACACATTAGAGGACTTGGCCAAAAGAAATCTGATGAGGTTCTACAATGACAAGTGCACAGTCCTGCACTTGGGACGGAAGAATCCCAAGCATTGTTACAGGCTGGGGGCCGACTGGCTAAATAGCAGTTCTGCAGCAACGGACCTGGGGATGACAGTGGATAAGAAGCTGTATATGAGTCAACAGGGTGCCCTTGTAGCCAAAAAGGCTAATGGCATATTATGTTGCATTAGGAGGAGCATTGCCAGCAGATCCAGAGAAGTGATTATTCCCCTTTATTTGGCTCTGGTGAGGCCACACCTGGAGTATTGTGTCCAGTTCTGGGCCCCCCACTATAGAAAGGATGTGGTTGCTTTGGAGAGGGTCCAGCGGAGGGCGACCGAAATGATTAGGGGGCTGGATTGCATGCCCTATGAGGAGTGGCTGAGGGATTTGGGTTTGTTTAGTCTGCAGAAGAGAAGAGTGAGGGGGGATTTGATAGCAGCCTTCAATTTCCCGAAGGGAGGTTTCAAAGGGGATGGAGAGAGGCTGTTCACAGCAGCCCAGTAACAAAACCAATCAACTCTGGGATTTTCTGATAAGAACAAATTAATTCACACACTTGTTCCCAGGATCCATGCACCGGGAGACATTGCTGCCAGAGGTGGTTATATGAGTTTTCACATAAGGAGCTGGAACTGGGGTCCCAGGGTTGCTATGCTGAGACTGCTCAATTAGGACAAATTGTAAAAAAATGGGGCAGACAATCTCCCAAACTGGTGGTTATTCCAATACTTAGATCCGCCAAAACTAGCAACAAAATAATTTCTGTAATACATTACTGGTTACCCAGAGCTCCAAAGCACAGTTCCCTTAAAGCTAGATCCCAGTTTTAGGAGACACTAGGAAATGTTTATTGGGTCGGGGCTGCTGACCCACAGAAAAATCAGTCAGGGGCCTCAAACAAGTGAGAAGCAAAAATAAAAAAACCAAACCCTTACTGATGTGGCTCATGAATGAGAAGGAGAAAGACACTCCTCACGTTCCCCTCATATACCGGGGGAGGGGCAGGTTAGTGGATTTTGAATGCTCCAGCTCAGGGGGGAGGAGCTGGAGCACCATCACAGGCTCCCCAATGCTGGGGGGCAGCCCCGAGCCTCAGGGGCTGGATCCAGGCAAGCAGGGGACCACATCCGGCGCTAGGGCATTAGGTTCCCCACTCCAGCCTTAAAGTAACCCAGCCCTGGGCTTTCTGCCAGGCAACCAAACCACATACGATGAGGATTACTGAAAATCTGGTTGGTTCATCATATAAAAAGTTCTACCAATCCCACATTATTTCCCAAGTCAAAGAATATTTCAGTTCTTACCCAAATGCACACTAATAACCAATTCTTATTAACTAAACTAAGATTTATTTAAAAAAAAAGAAAATTGGTTAAACGATCATTAAACATATAGGTACACACAGAGTTCCTAGGTCATTTTTATAGCATAGATCATAGAATCGTAGGGTTGGAAGAGACCTCAGGAGATCACTGAATCCAGCCCCCTGCCTAAGGCAGGACCAACCCCAACTAAATCATCCCAGCCAGGGCTCTGTCAAGCCGGGACTTGAAAACCTCTAGGGGTGGAGATTCCACCACCTCCCTAGGGAACACATCCCAGTGCTTCACCAGCCTCCTAGGGAAATAGTTTTACCTAATATCCAGCCTAGCCCTCCCCCATTGCAACTTGAGACCATTGCTCCTCATTTTGTCAATTGGTGAGCTTAGAGTTGCAAAGTGTCCTTTCTGGAATCAATTCATTCGGCTAAAGTCCAATGTCCAGATCCAATGCCAAGGCTATCCAGAATGGCACTGGAGACCACTATCTTGTGACTCAAACTTTCCCTGACCATGCTTAAGCAGATCTGAGGTCTGAAGAGTTTTTAACAGAGGTTTTTGCAGTCTCCTGACAGCATCCAGTCCTTGAGTGAACAATAGACAATTACTTCAAAAGCCTATTACCTAAGCATTACCAGTAACTAATATAATCTATTAAGCTGTTCATAGACAGTTTACTACAACTTCAAAGAGAAGTACTGACAGAAAATTACTACACCCATGTTTCACTTAAATGTTAATACTCCCCTCCGATCTCTGAATCAATAGACAGGATTAATCTGTTCACATGACTGATCTCTAACAAGATATAAGTAAATGCATACAATGAGTACTACCTCTAATTCCCACCGTGCAGGTTTGGATTTCAAAGCTCTAGTCTATTGCAGTGGTGCGCAACCCGTGGGTCACAACCCCAAGGGGGTCGCAGATATCTTCCTGGGGGGTCACAGGCCTGGCTTAGATTCGGCCAGCCAGGGGCTGGGCACAGCAGTGTGACACTTGAATCCAGCCAGCCAATGGCTGGGCCCAGCAGTTGGCAGCCCCCACGGCATAGCACCTAGATTTGGCTGGCCGGGGGCTGGGTCCGGCAGTTGAAGGCAGGTTCGCAGATCAAAAAAGGTTGTGCACTACTGGTCTATTGAACATGGCAATGTTAGTGATTCCTAAGAAACAGCTCTAATTACCATTTATATACCTCTTTAAATGTGTCTTTGCAGGTTGAACTTGGGTTATTTAGCCTGCAAGTTGTTTAACCCTTTCTGGCTCTGTGTCACAGCAAATCGTTAAATCCTAGGACAAGATGTACCAATATTTTCGTATCATGCCGAAATCACTCTCTCTCTCTGAGGGTACGTCTAGACTACATGGCTCCGTCGATGGAGCCATGTAGATTTGTTTTTTTGGCAAAGGCAAATGAAGCCGCGATTTAAATGATCTAAATGAAGCCGCGATTTAAATTTACATGGCTGCTGAGCTGAGCCGACAAACAGCTGATCAGCTGTTTGTCCGCTCAGCGCGCTAGTCTGGACGCTTCCCTGCCGACATCAAAGCCCGGCAGCCCTGGAAAACCTCATCCCACGAGGAATAATGGGGCTGCCAACAAAGGGCTTTGAGGTCGGCAGGGGAGCGTCCAGACTAGCGCGCTGAGCGGACAAACAGCTGATCAGCTGTTTGTCGGCTCAGCGCGGCAGCCATGTAAATTTAAATGAAGCCGCGATCATTTAAATCGCAGCTTCATTTGCCTTTGCCTATCTGTCTAATCTACCCGGCTCCATCGATGGAGCCATGTAGTCTAGACACAGCCTGAGTGTGTAACGCTTGTTTCCCTTTTTCTGATAATCTGGTACATGGGTATTCAGCACCTTTACCACTGGCTAGCTCTCAGAATGTCTTGGAGATAAGTTTACAGCCAGTTGATTGCATTACAGTTTCTTCAACTGACAGGAAAGGCCTGGAAAACCCAGCTGCTCCAGAGGGCTTTATCATTTCAAAGTAGGTCAGACTCTGAGTTTATAAAAAATGGTGCAGTGTCCTTTTAAGTACTAGTCTCAGCAGGGTCAGGGTCAGGAAACATGCTGCCTGATTTCCATGGTGTCTCATCGTTACCAAGGTTCTTTGTAAGATCTGTTTGTTTTTTCCAGGTTCCTGGTTGGTGCCCCAGAGCTGTAGTGAGGAATGAATGACCCAGCAGATCCCTCAAGGCTATTCCTCAACTCCTCCCTGGAAACTGCAGAACAATGTGGCAAAGAGACCCATACAGAGAACATCCTTTTTGCCACTTTTTATCTCCTGGACTTCATCCTGGCTTTTGTTGGCAATACTCTGGCTCTTTGGCTCTTCATCCGGGACCAGAAGTCAGGTACTCCCGCCAATATTTTCCTGATGCATCTTGCTGTGGCTGACCTGTTTTTTGTGCTGGTTCTACCTACCCGGCTGGTATATCACTTTTCTGGCAACCACTGGCCATTTGGAGAGATCCCATGCAGACTCATTGGCTTCCTTTTTTATCTCAACATGTATGCCAGTATCTACTTCCTCATGTGCATCAGTGTCGATCGCTTCCTAGCCATTGTGCACCCTGTGAAATCCATCAAAGTCCGCAGGTCACTCTACGCCCACTTGGCATGTGCCTTTCTTTGGGTTATAGTTGCTGTTGCAATGGCACCTCTGTTGGTCAATGTGCAGACAGCCGAGATGAACAACACGACTGTCTGCCTACAGCTCTACAGAGAGAAGGCCTCACGCCATGCTCTTGTGTCCCTGGCAGTAGCATTCACCTTTCCATTTGTTACTACAGTGACCTGCTACTTACTGATTATCCGCAGCCTAAGGAGTGGGAACAGAGTTGAGAAGCACCTGAAGGAAAAAGCTATTAAGATGATCATCGTTGTTCTAATGATCTTTTTGGTCTGCTTTGTACCTTACCACATCAATCGTTATATTTACATTCTCCATTATGATGGCACCAAGACTTCCTGTGAAACCCAGCGGATCCTGGCACTCAGTAACCGCATCACTTCCTGCCTCACCAGCCTGAATGGTGCCCTTGACCCAGTGATGTACTTCTTTGTGGCCGAGAAGTTCCGCGAGGCCTTGTGCAGCTTGTTTTGTGGCAAGAGGGCTGTAATGTTGCCTCCAAGTTACGAGGGGAAGACAAACGAGAGCTCATTAAGTGCTAAATCTGAATTATGAGCACAAGATCGTATTTGCTGTCACTTCCAGGCACAACACAGCCCAGAGACTCTCTAGAGAGTAAAGGCAAGTGACTCCAAGGACAAAGATGTTACTCCCAGATTCTTGCAAGACAAAGGAGGAGAGTTCAGTCATTTCTATGCAGCTGTGACCAGCATGGGCCCATCTCCACCAGAAGACTGACTGTAATTTCAATAAGTCACAAAAAGTTCTGAACATGATTGCAAAAGCAGTAGTATCTCTTGCCCAGTCCTGAAGCTGAGGTCTGAATATATAGGGATGGAGGAAGGAAACAAGAATAAAATCAACCCATTATTTCTCCAAACAACAGTTTTCTACTCAGGGCTCTTTCGAGCAAATATTCCCACTGAGCAACAGAACAACTGGAATTCAAGGACTAAGGGTGATCTGTCTCGTTGAACACACATGCCCTCCTCTGAAATCCGGTGATGAGCCAGCCAGAGAGCTGCAGTCCTGAGATATCAGAGAAGTATAGGGAGAGTGTCTAGATCTAGTGAGAATGTTTGCAGAGAGCTGGGGATATAAGGTATGCCTCTTGAACAGGAGAAAGGGGAAACCTGTGGCTAGAATAAAGAGGAGACATTCTGATTCCCGCGGGAGCTCAAATTATTGTCACCACAGATCCCTTGTCTATTCCCAGGATTTGGGCATGAGCTGTAAACATCAAGCTAGTATTTCAACCTTGGGTTTGTGGGTCAGGGCCTCACGAGCTGTCTGCAGTTACAGACAGAATTTTCTGAACTAACCCTGTGGTGCATCATCCTGTTTGAATGATCAATCACCTCAATAATCTCAGACTAAAATACAAAGGAATGGAAAAGTGTCTCTTGAAAATGAGTGAGGGGAATATTTTCCATTGTTTTGCAAACACTGAACCCTGAAACTCTGAATCTGTTAAAAAATTAGCCAAGAAGAAGAAAAGTAGATATGCTGTGTGCAATCTAATCTGCCAGGGAAAAAACGTAAAGATCTTTTGGGTGTTTTATAATTATTTACATTTTGCCTCGTGCTTTTGTTTGGTCTGAAAAACATTTCATTTGCTATATATGATCACTAACCCAGTTTAGTTTAACTACCCTTACTGCACCCAATGAAACACATCTGGGGAGGCAGGAGAAGATGTGGTATAAAGGGAGAAAAATCCACGAGGTCCTCCAGGAACCGTGCTAAGCCAATCATATTTGCCTCTGAAGTGCTGTAGCACTGATAAGCACTACAAAGCCATACATCAATTTTATTCACATATTCCACCCATGCCATTGGGAAGGGACTCTTATGTCTCTAGGAGTACAGATCCTAAATTATTAAATCAAACAGCTTTTTATCTTGGTTAAGTTTCTGGAATCCTGACTGCTTTCCCAGCCAGTACTCTGCACTGCTCAAAGGCACCGGCCAGAGATGCAAGCCAAGAAGCCAAAAGAGCAATTTATTAACTGGTATTCTGGATGCCAAGAGACTGGTGTTATATGAAAGAGAAGAAATTATGTTCCCTGGTGGCCA